GGGTCTCCCTGATGGACACATCCTGGGGGCCTGGAGCTCCTCCAGGCAGCTCCACAGAGTCGGAGGGGTGTGCCTCCCACCCTGTCAGGCTGAGCAGGTGCTGTGTGCTGGGGCTAGGGGGTGGTCGAGACAGCTCCACCGCCCCCAGCAGTGTCCCCAGGCTGGGATCCGGGGAGGCATCAGGGCCTGTGGCATCCTAAGGCTCAGGCTGACCCCCCTCTCCTCAGGCAGTGGACACATCAAAGAGGTCATCGTGGCCGCTGAGGCGGAGCCGGGGGACAGTGAGATGGCAGAGGCCCCAGGCAGCCCCAGCCATCAGGGGCCTGGGCTCACTGGGGAAGGCGAGCAGGCCCAGGTCAAGCTGCTGGTGAACAAGGACGGCCGCTATGTGTGCATGCTCTGCCACAAGACCTTCAAGACGGTGAGCCTCTGGGGCCTCGGGCTGGCCAGGCTGCATGGCCTGTCGTGCTTGGGGCAGTCTGGCTGGTGGTGCCAGGCCTCCTGCCCATTCCTGCCTGGGGCGGAGCCTGAGCCTCGCTGCCCCTCCCCCACAGGGCAGCATCCTCAAGGCCCACATGGTCACCCACAGCAGCCGCAAGGACCACGAGTGCAAGCTGTGTGGGGCCTCCTTCCGGACTAAGGGCTCACTCATCCGGCACCACCGGCGGCACACAGGTGAGCCAGCCTAGGGCCAGGAGCCGCACAGCACATGGCTGCTGCCCCTGGGGGTGCCCTGGCCTTCAGCTTTGTGACACCTATCACACCCTGCAGGGTGTGGCTGATGTGGCTGTGTCTCTGGGCCTGTGGATGTGCCTGTGTCTCGTCCCTGCCTGAGGCTGACTGTTCTCTCCACAGATGAGCGCCCCTATAAGTGTGCCAAGTGTGGGAAGAGCTTCCGGGAGTCGGGTGCACTGACCCGACACCTCAAGTCTCTCACCCCGTGCACAGAAAAAATCCGCTTCAGCATGAGCAAGGACATGGTTATTGGCAAAGAGGAGACACCTGCAGGTCAGCGTGGCAGGGGAGCTCCCTGCCCTGCCCCTGGCTGCTGGCCCGGGCACTGCCCTGGTCAAGGAGGTTTCTTCAAGGACTCTCTTGGTTATGCCTTAAAGGGTCTGGTGCCTCCACTGTGGGGACCATTACATCGTCATCAGTGACAGGTGAGCCCATGGAGACGTCGCCTGTGATTCACCTGGTGACAGATGCCAAGGGCACAGTCATCCATGAAGTCCATGTCCAGATGCAAGAGCTTCCCCTGGGCATGAAAGCCCTGGCCCCAGAGGTGGGTGCAGCTCGGGGGTAGCTCTGTCCTGGAGGTGGGGGCAGCTGTGGGGGATGCCCTGGCCCCGGAGGTGGGGCTGTTGGGGGAGAGCCCTGGCCCCGGAGGTGGGGGCAGCCTCTGTCCGCTCACACCAGGCTCTCTTCTGGGCACTGGCTCCAGTGGGAACAGGGCTGACCTGGACCTGCCTTCCTAGTGCTCAATCTGATTGCATGGGACATGGGAGACCAGTGGCATGCTAGAGGGCAGAGAGGGGCGAGGTGGGGCAGAAGAGGGCAGGTGGAGAGGCTCTGGGGCCCCCAGGATCATTCCTGAGTGAAGATACTGGGTGTGCACAGTGGCCCCAGGCCCTTTGGGTCTGCCTTGTGTGGTGGGTACAGGTGGGTGCCATGTCCCACGCCACCTGGCCAGCCTCTCTCCCTCTGCCTCCCCCACAGCCCCCGGGCCCTGAGGAGCTTCCTTGTTCCAGCGAGGGCAGCCGTGAGAACCTGCTACACCAGGCCATGCAGAACTCTGGCATCGTCCTTGAGCGGGTTGCTGGGGAGGAGGGGGCCCTGGAGCCAGCCCCTCCTGCTGCGTCCAGTCCCCAGCCCCTGGGAGGCGGTCCCTCAGAACTGCCACTGCTGGAGGTGGAGCAGGTGGACACAGTAGGTGCCTGCGCTGCCAGCATGCTCCATCTGGGGGGCTAGACCTTGGGTACAAGGTCACCATGCTGGCCTGGCCGCCAGCCTCCTTGCTGTGCTCCCTTCAGTGGAAAATTGTGTCACTTTCTGCAGTGACTTTGTTCCCTGATCTGTTTACTGCCCTCCCTGGGCCCATAATGGAGCCTACCAGGGTGGGGTGCTGCAGGGCTGTCCTCGTTGGTGCTGCTGAGGCCCAGCCTGCAGTGGGTGCTGGAGGCATGCTGTGGTCCCCCAGCAGGTGGCCAGTGAGGCCTCAGCTGTGCCCAGGACCCACCCGTGCCCTCAGTGCAGTGAGACCTTCCCAACGGCGGCCACCCTGGAGGCCCATAAAAGGGGCCACGCAGGTAGGTGGCAAGGGGGGGGCACCAGGCCATGCATAGCCTGTGGGTGACCAGGATGGACCCTCAAGCGTGCAGTGGCCAGTCAGGATGGCCTGTCCTGGCAGCTGTGGTGGGGCCCCTGGGTGGTGGACCTGCCTGACATGGTGTGCGGCCCCAGGGCCAAGGCCGTTCACGTGCGTGCAGTGTGGCAAGGCCTTCCCCAAGGCCTACCTGCTCAAGAAGCATCAGGAGGTGCACGTGCACGAGCGCCGCTTCCGCTGCGGGGACTGCGGGAAGCTCTACAAGACCATTGCCCACGTCCGTGGCCACCGACGTGTCCACTCAGATGAGCGGCCCTATCCCTGTCCCGAGTGTGGCAAGCGCTACAAGACCAAGGTGGGCCCTGGACCCTGACACCTGCCCCCTCATCCGTGGGCTCCCCATTCCCTGGGCCAGATCTGTCCCTTGTTCCCTGCCCCCAGCCCTTCCTCGTCACCCCCGCCGCCAGCTTGCTCAGTCTTGGTCCTGTCCCTCACCCCGGGCCCATGGATGCCCTCCCTTGGCCCCAGAGGGAGGCGGGGAAAGCCGTGGCTGAGGCCAGGTTGACTCTGACAGTGGGTCTCCACAGAATGCCCAGCAGGTGCACTTCCGGACACACCTGGAGGAGAAACCACATGTGTGCCCGTTTTGCAGCCGAGGCTTCCGGGAGAAGGGCTCGCTGGTGCGGCATGTGCGGCACCACACGGGCGAGAAGCCCTTCAAGTGCTACAAGTGTGGCCGTGGCTTTGCCGAGCACGGCACGCTCAACCGGCACCTGCGCACTAAAGGTTGGGCTGGCAGGCGGCGGGAGGATGCGAGGGGCGCAGTTGGGCACCCCTGACTGAGCTCCCCACTGCAGGGGGCTGCCTGCTGGAGGTGGAGGAGTTGCTGGTGTCCGAGGAGAGCCCTGCAGCAGCTGCCACTGTCCTCACTGAGGACCCGCATACTGTGTTGGTTGAGTTCTCGTCAGTGGTGGCTGACACCCAGGAGTACATCATTGAGGTGGATGTGGGGCCGCTGGGGCTGGGGTGGGGCCCAGGGGTGGGCAAAGCTGACCTCTGACCCTCCATCCAGGCCACCGCGGACGATGCGGAGACCAGTGAAGCCACAGAGATCATCGAGGGCACCCAGACGGAGGTGAGAAGCTTAGGGAGGGCCGGTGAGGGGAGACCAGGCACCCTTACCTGTGGTAAGACTCGTGGGCTGAACCGTGAGCCACCCACAGGTGGACAGCCACATCATGAAGGTGGTGCAGCAGATCGTGCACCAGGCCAGCGCTGGGCACCAGATCATCGTGCAGAATGTGACCATGGACCAGGAGGCGGGGCTGGGCCCGGAGGCAGCTGCTGCCGACACCATCACCATTGCCACCCCTGAGAGCCTAACAGAGCAGGTGGCCATGACACTGGCCTCGGCCATCAGCGAGGGCACTGTGCTCACAGCCCGGGCAGGCACAAATGGCGCAGAGCAGGCCACTGTGACCATGGTTTCGTCAGAGGACATTGAGATTCTGGAGCACGCTGGCGAGCTGGTCATCGCCTCGCCAGAGGGCCAGCTGGAGGTGCAGACGGTCATCGTCTAGCCTGGATGCCTGCAGAGTCCCAGTGGGCTGGTCTGGCGCAGGGGGCAAGGACCCTGAGCACCCTGCCGATGCCTGCCTGGCCTGCGCAGAGAAGATGGGGCACAGAATTCAGGTGCTCAGAGGACATATGGGAGTGTAAATTTACAGAGTTTTTTGTTGCTTTACAATAAAACATGAAAACCCGCCGCTTGTGATGTTGCGGCAGTGGCAGCCTGGAGGGCTGGCACCACTACCCTGGCAGGTCCCCCCACAGCAGCACCTGCCTGCCCAGGCCACCCTCTAGACTCTTGTGCCTGGCTACCCCGCCCAGGGCTTCTGGTGGGGCTGGCAGCACATTGGCGGCGCGTGGGTGTCCCTGGCATGTGGACAGACAGCCTCCTGCTGTTGCCCTGCCCACCTGGAGCTGTGGCCCCAACTTCCCGAGGCCTCCTGAGGTGGATGGAAGTGGGTGCTGCCTCACCGCCTCCAACCCTGGGGCTGTCCTGGGGCAGGGGACCAAGATCGGAGACCCAGCAGCCTCAGCTTTTTACCCTGAGGTGACAATGTGTAGGAGAAGCAGCAGGAGACATGGGGCTGGGAATGGGGCTGGTGTTTCCTGATTGTGCTGCCTTAATTTTCCCAAGGGGATGCAGCTCAAGGAGGGAGATTCTGAGTAACGTAGTTTCTGGGGGGGTGGGGACAAGAACAAGGCCTGAGCCATGGGCATGGCTGATCCTCTCCCCTAGTCCTGATGCAGGTCTTGGGTGGCTGTCACGGGCCCCGAAGGCCCGGTTCTGACAGGCTTGGGGGCGCCAGAGCAGGCTCAGGGCGGATCCCCTGCCGCCTTGCCCTCGGGGGTCTATGGTGAGAATGGGAGCCAGGAATTCCGGCTTCCAACTTCAATGAGGGGGCGGGACCCAGCGCAGTCCGGCCCCTCCCTGGGCCAGGACCTCAAATACCCGTCCTGCTTGGGCACCAGAGCTGCTGCTTGACCAAGCCGGCGTCTGTCCGATGCCACGCACACACCCCCAGCTTGGACCTCAGACCTCCACTCCGACCCAGATATTGAGTCTCTGACTCTGCCCCGTCCACGTCCCAGGTGAGTCTAGCGGCGTGGTAAGCGGGTGGCTGCATGAGAGTGGGGGTCTCTCTATTTGGGCCTCAGTTTCCCCACGGTGTAAGAGACCGACCGTGGGCCTTGAGCCGAGCGCACCACCCTGGGGAGACCTGGAGAGGGCAGCGGGAGGATGCGCCTTCGCGCCGGCCAGCTTTGGCCCGGCCCTGCGTCCCCCGCGCGCCCCGGCGCCCCCGCGGCTGGGGCGGAGAGAGGTGGGTCCCTGTGTCTGACTCTAGGTCCGCGCTCACGCGGGCCGTGTCTGTCCCTCCCAGAAAGCCCACTCGGCATCATGGGCGGGCCCTGGGCCCTACTGGCTGCTCTCTGGGCGCTGGGGGACATCGGGGCCGCGGGGCTGCGCATTGGAGCCTTCAACATCCAGAGCTTCGGGGACAGCAAAGTGTCAGACCCGGCCTGCGGCGGCGTCATCGCGCAAGTGAGGCCGGGGACCGGGGGCGGGGCCGCCGCTGGGCTCTGCGGGCGAATCTGCCGCGCTTGACCCCGCACCTGCCGGCCCCTCCCCCAGATCCTGGCCGGCTATGACGTCGCGCTGGTGCAGGAGGTGCGAGACCCGGACCTGAGCGCCGTGTCTGCACTCATGGAGCAGATCAACAGGTGCGGTGGGCAGGGCCCAGCGGCGGAAGCCCGGGCCGGGATCCCAGGCCAGGCCTCGGTGCGGCGCCTTGACCCGGGCCTGGCCCGTATCTCCGCAGCGTGTCCAGGCACGAGTACAGCTTCGTGAGCAGCGAGCCCCTGGGTCGGGACCAGTACAAGGAAATGTATCTATTCGTCTACAGGTGAGGGGCGGGGCCGCGGGGCCGCGGGGCCGCGGGGCCGCGGCGCGCTGGCAGGAGGTGGCTAGTTCAGCGAGCCCACTGCCCTCTCCCCCAGGAAGGACGCGGTGTCGGTCGTGGACACATACCAGTACCCGGACCCGGAGGACGCCTTCAGCCGTGAACCTTTCGTGGTCAAGTTCTCAGCCCCCAGCTCCGGTGAGGCCCCGCCCCCAAAGCTCCCCGCCTCCCCTCCCCACCCCCGCCACTGACACCCACCCGCTACCCCAGCAGCCAAGGAGTTGGTGCTGATCCCGCTGCACGCGGCGCCGCACCACGCCGTGGTGGAGATCGACGCTCTCTACGACGTGTACCTGGACGTGATCGACAAGTGGGGCACCGACGTAAGCCCCCGCGTCCACACGGCCCCGTCCCTCTGGCCCCCACGGCCCAGGGTCCCCGAAGGCGCGCCCTGGGGAGGTGGGGGTCGGTGCGGCCCGTCGGCGGGCTCAGACCCGGCTCCGCGGTCTCCCGCAGGACATCTTGTTCCTCGGCGACTTCAACGCCGACTGCAGCTACGTGCGGGAGGAGGACTGGGCGGCCATCCGCCTGCGCAGCAGCGAGGTCTTCAAGTGGCTCATCCCGGACAGCGCCGACACCACGGTGGGCAACTCGGACTGCGCCTATGACCGCATCGTAGTCTGCGGCGCCCGCCTGCGCAGGAGCCTGAAGCCCCAGTCGGCAGCTGTGCACGACTTCCAGGAGGAATTCGGCCTGGACCAGACTCAGGTGAGTGCTGGGCCTGGCAGGGGCGGGGGACGGGGGCAGCGACTGTCCTGGGGTCCCCAGGCCACGGGCACAGGCAGGCAGGAAGCGCCATCTCCCCGCTGCCCAAGGCTAGCTCAACCTCAGCGCACCTGGCACTCCCCTCCCTGCATAGCATTTCTAGAAAAGGCCCTTAGAGGTTCAGTTCTGGCTGCATGGACCAAGTCTGGGATGGTGATAGGATGCCCTTTGCCTCTCTGGAAGCCAGGTCCCCATCGAGACGCCCACCCCACCTGAAGCAGGTAGCAGCAGGGGGGACAGCACAGGCCTCACTTGCAGGCTCCCCACAGATGCAGCGGTTTGTAGATACCCAGTGGGCTCCATCCTGGGTGGGGGCAGTTCTGAGGTGGAGCCTGAAGGAGGACAGGCTGCTTAACAAGGCCTCTGAGGCTTGGCCCCTCTCCCTCCAGGCCCTTGCCATCAGTGACCATTTTCCTGTGGAGGTGACCCTGAAGTCCCACTGACAGCCCTGAGGAGGCCTGCCAAGGGCATGCTGCCTGCAGACTCTGGCCACAAGGAACAGCCCCGCAGGGCTCCTTCAGGGTGGATGGCCAATCCCCAGTGAGGCCGCAGGAAGGTCAGCTGGGCCTGGACAAGTGGCCATAGACACCTTATGGGACGATTTGGAGCCTGCTTCCCCATCTGTAAAATGGGCTACCACCACCCACCTCATAAGGGTGTGAGGGGCACCCGTGGAGCACTGGGCACGCGGCTGTGCTCAATAAACACAAGCAATTGCTCAGTTGGTGCCACACACAGGTCGGCTCCGAAGCCTCCGTATCCTTTCTTAGGACTCAGCCCTCTAGGGCACAAACCTCAGTCCTGCAGCCCAGTGGGTCCCTGATCGCAGCCCCTGTAGGGGACAGGGATGACTTGGCATGCTTATGTCACATCCCGCTGGGAAGTGACCACCTCCACACTAGGCTGGTTCCAGAAGGCAGCTCCTGTGCTCACTAGCAGAAGCTCCTTGCTCTTGCTTTGCGCAAACTGTAAAGGCTTCCAAGAACTTGTACTAAGTGCAGCTGGGGATTAAGCGCTTACACGCAGGTAAAGTGCCAACTGGCAAGGCCGGATGTCCCTCCTGCAGCCCGCTTCCTAGGTCCTGCAGGGGTGAGGGTGGTCTGGTCAGGAAGGCCTGCCCTTGGCCCCCTGCCCCCAGCCAGTCAGCAGCCCTTGGACATTTGGGGAGTCCCTCGGTGGCAAGCAGGCCGCACCCCTCGCTCAGCCCAGGAAGGTGGGTAGGGTTCAGGTTGTGTCCACAGAAGCCACATGCCTCACGGTGGTACAGCCCCTTCAACGGTGCCTTCCTGGGTAGGTTCCTGCTCAGGAGCCCTGGGCTGGGTAAGGACTTGTCAGGACAGTGGCCTGCGTCCCGGGTGAGCCCATCACCTGAGGATCAGGAACACGCGGAACTGGGGTACATGGTGTAACTGACGAGGACCCAGTGAGGTTTCTAGTTTTCCAAACATCTCACCTTTGGCAAGATTTGGGAACTGGCCTGAATTGTACGGGAGGAAAAACAATTGTTTCAAAAACTTGGACAAGTTTTTCTTGCAAAATCTAAAATAAGATTTAGGACACTCGCAGTGTAGAATGCCTCACAACCAGTAATGCCTCCCTCGTCCCTCACCAAGCTCCCCCGCTTTCTCTGAACCCTTGTAGGCTCCCTCCATCTAAACAAACAGGGGTGGTGACCAGAGGGCTTTTCTCTGGGGGCTTGTGTGGATCTTCAGGGCCCATGACCACCTAGCCTTATGCCTATAGCAATCAGGCAGCCTAGAGGCCCAAGGACTTTATGCAGAATTCGGCTTTGGGAAAGGAGACACTCAGTGGTGACATCGCCAAGGTCCTGCCAATTCATGATTCCCAAATCGAGATACTACCCACCAGCACTCCCCTGCCTGCCCGCCAGGTAGAAAAGGTGTTCATGGGTAGTTGTGGGCCTTGGGACACTGGCTACAAGGAACAGGGCCTTTTAGGAAGATCAGCAAAGCAAAGAGCTGAAAGTACTTTTAAGTTGGAGAACACCTCGTTTAAAACCCCTCGGAACCAGAGGGCCCCCAGGAGGGCGTGTGTGGCTAAACCCTGTGTGGGCAGCGCAGCCCTCAGCCCTTTTTCTGTTTGAGCTTTTCTAAGTACATCTGCAGGGACTTCTGGATGGAGTCTCTGGAGATGAAGCTGACGAAGTTCTGGATGTCTGCGTCGCGCTGTTTCAGCAGGCGGTCCACTGTGGGCTTTCGCATCATATTCTTGGTCAGCTGTCGAGCGTGGTCTAAAGAAAACGGAGTCCACATGTGAAAACTCACTGTCTGAGACAGTGGCATTCCCAACCTTTCCAAGAGAGTTCCAACAGAAACTCTGCTAGAAAACTTAGAAAATCCAAGTAAGCAAAGAGGAGAAAATCACCTGTTCTCCACTGCCCATCTGTTTCTTTTAAAAACATATAGGATGCTGTGAAAATTGCATTCTTAACCTGTTACTTTAATTATGTTTAATTATGTTATGGAGAATATTTTGCATGTCACTAAATATTCTTTTACGATGTAATAATGGCTGCACAGCATTCAGTCATTCGTCCCTGTCAGGGGTTGGCAAACCTGGCCCCCGACCATGGCCCTTGAGCTAAGAATGGTTTTTACTTTATTAGATAGTTGAAAAAAGGGTAATATTTTGTGACATGTGAAAATTATACGAAATTCAAATTTCAGTGGCCCTCACTTTTATCAGACCACAGACATGCTCATTAGTTCACGGACTCTTGCTGCCTCCATGCTCCAACGCCACAGTTGTGGCAGAGACCAAGTAACCCACAAAGCTAAACATCCACCTGGCCTTTCAGAGATGGTCTGTTGATCCTGGTCTCTATTGTAGTGATATAACCAGCCCTATTTCTATAAACATACATGCAGGCTGTTTCCAGTTGCCTGTGTAGTGGTCTAAACAGTGAACCCCACAAAGATATGTACAAGTCCTAACCGCCCCTCTAGAACCTGTGCCTCATATGGCCTTGTCGGGAAAAAGGGTCTTTGCAGATGTAATTAAGATGAAATAATCTTGGATGTAGCGTTGGCCCTAGATCCAATGACAGGTGTCCTTATAAGAGAGAGGAGAGGGAGATTTGAGACACAGAGACACAGAGGGAGAAGGCCATGTGAAGATGGAGGCAGTGGGTGGGGTGATGTGGTCACAAGCCCAGGAACACCCAGAGCCACCAGAGCTGGAAGAGGCAGGAAGGATCCTCCCCTACAGCCTCTGGAGGAAGCCAGGGAGCGCCCACACCTTGATTTTGGACTTCTGGCCTCCCATCTGCAAGAGAATGCGTTTCTCTTGTTTTAAGCCTGCCTCCCCTGCCTGTGGTGATTTGTTACGGCAGCCTCTGGACACTAAATCAGTCTGCTACTATGACCTGCACGTTGGTGATGTGCACAGAGCACCTTTACATTAGAACTTTCTGGTCTCACCAGGAGCGTCAGGCTGGGGAGGGAGGGGGCTTTGCTCACCCACCAGTACCCACAGCTGCTGCCCCTCTCTGTGCTCCTCACCTGGAATGGCCATCCACTGGGCCATCACTGAGAGTGCTGTGCTCTGCACCTGGTCCTCAGGCACCACCTGGTCCACCATGCCCACCTGGAGGGCCTCCGCTGGCGGAAAGAGCAGCCCCAGCTGCAGAGCGCGCTCCGCGGCGCGGTGCCCGATGGTGTTCACAAGGGTGTCTCTGAACCTGGAATGCACACACCCACTCACCACCAGCTGGGGATTCCCAGGTGGGTCAGCTTGTCCCAGGGCCAAGTGGAGGGTGGGTGCAGGCCCTGGCCTTACCAGAAGGGGGCAATGATGCCCAGCAGGGTCTCGTTCAGCCCTATGAGGCACTTGGGGTTGTCAGCCAGGACCCGGTAGTCGCAGGTGAGGGAGATCAGGCAGCCCCCAGCTGGGCAGGCTCCCTGCAGGGGAAGCAAGACCACTGGGCTCTGGGTGCTGCTGCAGCTGATCCTAGTCACATTCTAGAGGGCCGGGGTCTGGAGGAAAGGCCTACAGGTGGGTGTGAGCTCCCGGGGTGCCCCTAGCCCCCCTGGGCGCCATACCAACACTGTCTGGGCTGGGTGTGCACAGTGGGGACTCAGGGTAGCCCATCAGCCCAAGGGTCCCAGGCACTGGCAGGGCCATCAGGTCTCAGGGGCCAGAAAATCACTCTTAACCCTCTGGCCAGGGTAGCAAGTTGCCTTTCCTTGCACAGCTTTTGTCCGGATGCTAAAATGCCAAACAACCATTTAGCTAGAGCTGTCATTTCATGCCATGCCCCAAGGGGCCCGCTGCCATACCCAGCAGGATGTCCTGGGAACCCCAAACTCACACTATCCTCATTCACGCACCCCACTGCCCCAATCAGAGACGGCAGGTCTTTGTCGCTGCTCCTTCCCTCTGGGCCCCCCACATGCTGTCAGTGGCCACCACACCCCGTTGGAGTCTTCCTGACTCTTGCCATCCCTCCCCTCTGCCAGTTTGGCCCTCCTTGCACCTTAATTGGTTGTCACAACGGGCTCTTCTGGGCACACTGGTTTCCAAGCCTTAGCCCCACGCCCTTGCCTCAGCCACCCGGCACCTGCGTTCCCACGTCGGGCCAAAGTGATGTTTCCAAAATGTGGATCTGCTCCTCATCTGCTCCCCTACCCCCTACAGCCCTCTTGTTGGGCTGTGTTGACCTGTGGGCCCTGGTCCCTGCCCCCATCCCAGTGAGCGAGTTGACCTCTAGTGGCCCCCCTTGTCACCATGTCACACTGGTCTGTGAGGGCACGCTTACCTGTGCACTTCTGAGTCTTCTCCAGGCCCCTTGCTCAACGAGGGCTTCCCCGAGGGCATGGCCATGTCTACTCCCTCTCCCCCCAGGCTGGTCCCCAGTGAGTCACTGAGGCCACTCAGGAATGGGGACACTTACGCTGATGGCAGCAATCAGCACCAGGTTGGACAGGTAGAGCCGCAGCCACAGCTCCTGCACAGCCTTCCAGTACTCTGCGTAGTGTGCTGGGTTCCTCCCGCACATCTCTGTCAGGTCCAGGCCAGCTGAGAAGACCCCAGGGCAATCCTGGGGGAGTACAGGAGCCAGGGGCCCCGTCAGAGCCCTCCTCCTGGTGGCAACACACCCCTCCCGGGCCTGGGGAGCCCAGAGGTGCCCAACGGGCAGTGGGGCCAAGGTCATGCTCAGGGCAGCAGAGCTTGGGGCTCCAGGGACTCAGCCTGGACCTCCCTTGGACTCAGTTCCCTCTGCGTCCTGGGATGTTCTTCCTTTTCCAGCTTCAAACCAGAAAAGGCAGAATAGGCAGGCAGAGTCCAGTGCTCCCCAGGACATAAATATACCAGGCTCTGTGCACGCCTGGCTCTGTGTTCAGTGTCCCAGGCAGAGGAGCTCAGAGGTGTGGGGAGGACTCCTGACTGAGTCTGGAGGGGGCGCACAGTGATTTACCCTCAAAGGTCAAGCAAGCTGCAGACTCGAGGAGGGCAGCTGTCAGAACACAGACAGGGAAGGAAGGGGCGATGGTCAGTCGAGAAGCCAGACCTCTGCCCTGGGTTGTCACATGTGAGACAGAGCCTGGGGAATGGCCTGGAAGGCACGTGTGTCCTGTGTGGATGCCCCAGGTCCTGACACAGGTGCCAGGGAAGGGAGGGGGAGCAAAGACAGAAGAGGAATGACAGGCTGGGATGGGGGCTGCCAGCACAAGGGGGCGTTCCAGTGGTGGACACCAAGTTCTGGGCGCTCATAG